ATACAGGGGCAAAACCTCAAAACCAATGTCCCAGAGGAGAAGAGAACATGATGTACTGTACAATTTTGAGGAGTCTGCCATTATTTCGTAAAAAAAAAATCGCACTTTCTAGGATATAAACTAATGACTCCCAGCACCCCCACCAGTAGCTCTAGGTTTTGGCTAAAACAACGGGGTTCCCTCTCCACTCCCCAACACCCTTTCCTTTGGCTGTGACAGGCCGACACCCTGCAAAGTCAAAGCGTGCGGGCCACTAGCAGGCTGCCCTGTGGAACAGAATTCATTTGCTTTTCCTCCGATGGAGACCGGCCTCCCAGAGGGGGCCCATTTCACCAGCATGGCCTTGTACCCGAGTTAAAGTGATACAGATGGGATGCAGTTTCAGAGAAGCAGTGACACAGAAGAATTTCCAGATGCGGTCAGACTCTCTTTAGCGAAAAAGTGAGACATGAATATGTTATCTGAGCACTTGACATGCATGCCAAGAATGTTTTCCTTCCACAGATAATGAAGCATTTGGGAGCAGAGCAGTCTGCTGATTTGGATAATAAATGAGTCAGTAACCGCCCCCCCCACCCCCCCAACACACACACCCCTCTGGCCCCGTGGGACCCAACACAGTCCTTGGAATTGTACGGGATTCTGTCAATTCTGCTTCTAGCTCTTGGCCCCATCTTCCGGCAAAGGATAAAGCAGCACACCTACGGACTCAGAGTTCCCTCTGCGTTTCCCAGGTGTGGCACTTCACTATTACCCCTTTATTAAAAGGGAAGTAGTCATTCCCCATCATTTTGTGGGCGCCATCTGTCTAACCTTTTACACGGCTTTCTGAGACTACAGTCATCAGAGCAGTGACAAGAGAAAGCTACATGTCAGTCACTAAGTCTAAAGTGTCCAGGCTTCTGGGGGGCCCGGAATATGCTTTAAGGGGTAAGTTTCGATTATGAAGGAGAGGCGAGTGAAGCCGGCTCCCTGAGCCGGGGAGGTAATTACTTGTCAGTGTCTGACGCTGCTGTAAAGTCCCTTTTGGGAGAGACCTGGTGTGTCTGTCAGAAAGGAGGTCTCCCGGTTTTGTGCTCCCGAAGCAGCCACAGTTAGTCCTGGCAGGTTAAATGGGGATGCATGTTTCAGGGCAATGGCCGATGAGCCCTGTTTATCCTCAGTGAGAGTTCCTGTGACTGACTTTGGTAACGACCCGTCACCCCTGCAACGCCAGGGCGCCCTGTCATGCTGCGTTTAAGGAACAAAGGAAGGAACGAAGGAAAGTCAACTGCGTAATCAGCAACTTTTAAGGCCAGAAAACACCAGGTACCTAAGCAGGGGCAATCCGGCGGGGCCACACCCCACAAGGAGGCCTTAATGCTTCCAGATGTCCCTGCAGGACGACCACAGGCCTCTGGTCTCCTGATAAGGCCGGCGCCCGGGTCAGCGGGAGACGGCACCGTTGGCTTGATTCATGGGCTCTGTCCACGCGGGTTAAAGGGCAGCCCCTGGACCAAGCTGTGCAAGAACAGGCCAGGCTGAGGCTTAGCCTCACCTTCCGAGACACACACTTTCTCCCTCCATCCAGGACTAAAATGCGGCCCAGAGCCCAGAGCCCAGGAACGTAACTTGCACTCCAGAATTCCGTCAGCCATCTCCCTGCTTTTTAAGTGTTTGGCTTCTGTTGAGAAAAACAAAAAAAGTCGAAGCCAACCTAATCCTGACCCATTTCAGGAACTTGGCTATTCAGCTCATACTCAGGCATGTGCAGAAAGAAGAAAAAGAAAAAAAAAATTATTTGAGCCCATGGCAGAGATCAGCAGACTGTGTGTGTGTGTGTGTGTGCGTGTGTGTGTGTGTGTGTGTGTAGGGAGGGGAGAAAGGGGAAGAAAAGAGAGAAAGAGGAGAAGGGGGAACAGACGAGAGGCAGGGGGAGAGATTGAGAGCGAGCGAGAGAGATGTTTTTATATTTCTGACCAAAATTTTGGAGTTTAAATTTGCTCTTGGAAGCCTCTATATTTGACAAGTGATTTAGCCCTTTTTATTTTTATTTAAAAAACATATATTTCAGAGGAAGGGAGAGGGAGAGAGAGATAGAAACATAAGTGATGAGAGAGAATCATTGACTGGCTGCCTCTTGCATGTCCCGCACTGGGGACTGAGCTCACAACCCGGGCGGGCATGTGCCCTGAGCAGGAATTGAAGCATAACCTCCTGGTGGGTGGGTCAGCAGCCTTCAGGGTCCAGAGTGGCTGGGAGACAAGGTCAGGGATGAGGTTGGAGGCAGAGGATATTGGCCTAAAGGTGGGTTGTGCATGGTTTTGCACTTCATGGTTTTGGCCATTAAGAAAGATTTCCTTGTTGATTTTTAAAATTATTTTCTTTTTATAGCAAACCTCAGGGTGTCTGAGGGTCACATAGAGAAATATTCAGGAGTGGAAGTTAGCAAGTTTGCAAATGGTTAACGGGCTCCTACCTGCCTGAGTAAAACATTTGCGAGGAGGAGAGGTTGAGGAAAGAGGCATCTCTATGTGGCGCTCAGTTTTTATTTATTTGGACTGTATGGAGAGAGCAAAGAGAATGGCCTAGGACAGGAAAAAGAGAATTAAAGGAATAATGATCAGGCCCAGGCTCAGCAGCTGTTGGTTAGAGTCCTCCCAATAGCCCAAGGTTGCAGGTTCAATCTCCAGTCAGGGCACATACAAGAAGCAACCAAGGGCCCTAACTGGTTTGGCTCGGTGGATAGAGCGTCGGCCTGCGGACTGAAAGGTCCCAGGTTCGATTCCGATCAAGGGCATGTGCCTTGGTTGCGGGCACATCCCCAGTAGGAGGTGTTGTAGGAGGCAGCTGATGGATGTTTCTCTCTCATCGATGTTTCCAACTCTCTATCCCTCTCCCTTTCTCTCTGTAAAAAATCAATAAAATATATTTTAAAAAAAGAAGCAACCAAGGAATGCACACCTAAGTGGAACAACACATCCATGTCTGTCTGTCTGTCTCTTATGATCTTTTGTGGCAGAAAAGCGGGGAAAATGACTAAGTAACAGCCCAGCTCCACAGAGGGAGCTAGGCAACTATTTCCCATTTTAGCTCAGAAAAGGTCAGAGAAATTAGAGCATGGAGAATTGAGGATAGTCATAAAAAACGCACTTCCAGTGGTACCAGGAAGGCTCGGTGCAGTGCACTGAGGGGAAACACAGTTCCATTGTACTGGGGAGATGTCCTGATTGTATTCTGTTCAAAGGCACAGGGTTAGATCATATAATCCCCAAATCCACCCCAGGGCCAGAAATCTGTCTCCTGCCGGGGAGGGGTTTCCTTCCCCCCTTCCCTCTCTTATCCCCTCATCTTACAGCATAAGCTGTGTTATGAATGGCTCACTTCACATGACATCATTGAAGTGACAGGATATTGAGGAAAAGAATGCACTTCACCCACGGACTTTGCATCCTGGGGAGGGTTCCTCAGCCTTGACCTCTTATAACAGGCGCCTTCCCCCCGGGATGAACGAGTGGGATAGGGCGACTCCTTGAATTGTTACCGAAAAAACAGAGGGTAATGGAGGAGAAAAAAAAGAGCATGTGCTCACCACTGGGGAGAGCAGTAGACGCTGGGGTGGGAGCGGGGGGGGGGGGGGGGGTGAGTGGTTCGATTCTGCTTTGGGTTAGTTGCTGGTCTGCTTTAAAGTGCCAGGCCTGGCTTATGTACAAGCTCAACCTTGGCCTCCAGCAGGCCGGCTGCAGGGGAGACTTCTTGTTGCAATTACCCTCCGTGCACAACCAAGTCATAAAACCCAGGATGTTTCTCATGCAAACTGCGCCCCCACAGCCAGCCAGCTTTAGAAACCGGTGTTCCTGTCAACGGCTGTTGCCAGCGGAGTGAGCCATCGGCTTTGAGGCAGAAAGCTCCCCGGGAGGGAGCGCCCATGAGCACCCCCCACCCCCACCAGACTCCTCGATGTCCAACGCGGACACTGTGCCCGGGGAAGCATGGGGGTGCCGGGGTACCGTGGGGGCAGCATTTCCAAGGAGAGAAACCAAATAGGGCTAAAATCAAGGAGAGAGAATTCTCAGGAAACTGACTTGGCAGGGCCTTCATATGCAAATATCACATTACAAACTCCTGAGACAGCGCTGGTCCCCCCTAGCCCTCCCCAATGAAGGTCTCAGTGAGACCCGCCTGCGCAGTCCTTGCCTCCTTCACTTTTCTCCATAGCGTTTACTAGGGGGCATTCTACACTACGTCTGTCTTATTTATGCATTATTTGTCTCTCTCCACCCGAATATTCACGAGGTCTGGAAATGAGGATGTTTTTGTCTGTTTCGTTCCCCACAGTAAGCCAGCGCTTGGCATACGGTGAGTGCAAAGTATTTGCTGAGTCCGGCACAGACTGAATATATAGCCACGGGTCGGGCTGAGATCTCTGAGATCGAGTGTAGAAACAAGGAGACACTGGGCCCTGCAGAAGTTGGGGAGATGAGAAGAGCCAGCAAGAAAGGCAAAACCAAGGGAATGTGCTGGCCTGGAAACCAAGGAAGTCAAGAGGCCGTGGGAATGACCTTCTGCCAGTTACCAGGCTTTTCTTGAGACAGAACCATCTCGAGTTGACGCAGGAGCAGGTAGCCTTGCATATTCTGCATCAGCTTGAGCTTCAACCTGCACGTAGGTTTTATGAACCAATGCGTCACGCTCTGAGAAGCTTTATGGGTGCTGTGGACCTTGCCTGCAGAAAAATGCATCCAGGCAATTGTCACGACTGCAGACAGTTGCTGGGGTTTCCAGAATCAGTGACGTCTACCCCAGAAGTCAGGTCCACACCCAACCCTCTGGGGAGAGGTCTTCTTATGGCATGAACCACGCTGTCTCAATGTAAACATTCGGGTGTTGCAGGTCTCCTGGCTTCTCCAGGTGTTTCCAAAGGTTAGAATGAGTGAACCTCCTGGGCCCTCGAGTGGAACACAGAATGGGAATGAGCTGGTTCAAGTCTGAAAGCAACAGTGAAACGAAGGAGAACTCACCACCACCTCCTGGACGTGAAACATCTCTGCGCCTCCAGGTGACAGTCGATTAGGGAGAGAGATGCTGACGGATGCCCCGGGAAGGGTGCTTGGCCCGGTGTTATAGACCTGTGGGTGTGAGACGCACACAGCACGTTTTAATGGAAGCAAGGATCTTCATTTCATGCCATGCAATATAGACCCGGAAATTATTTGAAGGGATACACAGAGGTTCTAAGGTTTGGGATCTAGAAATATCAGATGATGGGAGATTTCAATGTTCTTGTCTTCTTCCTGCTAAAAAGGATTTATTTTTGTAGATCTAGACCAGTGGTTCTCAACCTTCCTCATGCCGCGACCCTTTAATACAGTTCCTCGTGTTGTGGTGACCCCCAATTTCATTGTTGCAAATGGAACATAATTAAAGCATAGTGATTAATCACAAAAACAATATGTAATTATATATGTGTCTTCCAATGATCTTAGGCGACCCCTGTGAAAGGGTTGTTCGACCCCGAAAGGGGTCGCGACCCACAGGTTGAGAACCGCTGATAGACATTTACTCAAAAACAACAGAATTCAGATATAATCTAGTTCAGTGATTCTCAACTTTAGCATATATCAGAGTAACCAGAAGGGCTTGTTAAAACATAGATTGAGGGGAGGGTCATGCCCAGAGTCTCTGACATAGCAGGTTTGGTGTGTGTGTGTGTGTGTGTGTGTATGGGCTAAATGATTTGCATTTCTAACAGGCTCCCAGGAACCATACTTTGAGAACCACGGATCTGGCCAAACCCCTTTTGTTTTACAGTTTGAGATAACTGAGACCCTCAAAGACAAAGTAGGTTGTCCTAAAACCAAATGATCTCACCTACAGAAAGGGCTGTTTTACTACGCTGCCCAGCTGACTTGGTTTCCCCATAACTTGCAGGTCATCACTTGCTAATATTGTTCGATGACATCTGTGCGCCTCATGCCTGTCCCAGCATTTGGTCCTGTAAAACGTTAGCCCTCTCATCCCCACCCCACCCCCCGTCCTTCCTATTTTCTATCTCCAGCGGACCATCATCTCCTGAGGAATGAGAGAAAAGGTGGCGGCCACAGAGAGACCAATAAGAAAGGAGATGGAGCAAAGGATGAACATGAGACTCAAGGAGAAAATGGAATATGAAGAAGAAGAAAAAAAAAGATGGGTAGATGTGTAGAGGCAGGAAGTCGATTAGTGGTGGCCTAGGGTTGGGGGTGTAGGAGAGATGGGGAGTGTGGTGGGCAGCAAAGACATCCATGTCCTAATCTGTGAAATAAGGAGCTTAAATAGGGAAGAAGGCAACAGAGTCAGAATCAGGGAGGTGTGTTGTGAGAAGGGCTTGATAACGTTAAGAAACAATCAAACCTGTAAAGAACTTTTACGAGTTTCTTTGAGCCAAACTGTCAATTACTGCCGGGAAGCAGAATCTCAACATACTGGGAATAACGCTCCGGAGGGTGGCGGGTTTTCTACTTTGTTTTAAACATTACAGTCAAAAGAGAAGACGCGAGTGGGTTACATGGACTCCACTGGTGATGGATGAGGGAGGCGGGAGGAAGCAAAGCGGGGACACCTCTGGGACTGGATAAAAAGTAAAATGATAGACACACACTTCTTTCACTTAGGTGGGTGCTGGATAGTTCACAGTCACCGATGAACTCAGTAACAATGAGGAGATCTGTGGTCTCCGCAGAGCGGTGCCTGCGCTTTGAGGGGTCCAGAAAAAGGAAAATTACTTTGACTTTCCAACGATATGTTATCGTAGATGCAAAAAGACCACAGACAGGCTCAGTTAAGGTAAAGACTGACCTTTGTCAGGGAAGATACCGGCTTAGGACATGACTACCCACCACAAACTGCTTTTAGTTAAAGTTTTCATTTCAGACCATCCTTTGTGGTTACTTTAAGTCTCTGAGTTTGCAAGGCTGCCACACAGGCCTCCCCTGAGCTGGCAGGTGAGCATGTGGCCCCTGTTTATCCACAGAGTGAACCAGTCATCGCTGGCTTGGAAGAGGAGGGGGACCCCGAGCCAGAGAATGCGGCCGCCTCTAGAAGCTGGAAGAGGCAGGAAAACAGATTCTCCCCTGGAGGCTCCAGAAAGGCACGCAGCCCTGCTGACACCGAGGTTTTAGCCGGCGAGGCCCATTTGGACTTCTGGGCGGCAGCTCTCTAAGATGAATGCGTGTTGTTTTAGGCCTCTCTGTTTGAGGCAATTAGTTACAGCAGCAACAGGAAACTAATAGAGGGATAAGGAGATTCTTTTTTTTGGGGGGGGGGGGGTGATGATATGTTCTAAAATTAGATTAGGGTGATCGTTGCCCAGTTCTGCAAATGTACGAAAAACCACTGAATTGTACACTTTAAAAGGGTGAACGTGAAGGTATGTGAATGATAGCTCAATAAGATGTTATTATTATTTATTTTTTTAAAAGATGGGTTAGGAGCAAGAGAAAGGAAGAAGTGAAATGCTACTCCACCGCCTGGGGGCCAGAGAGAGAATTCAGGGGCTCCAGGCGCCTCTGAAGTTGAGGTCAGAAGGGCAGCGCCAGGAGATGGCACACACGACAGAACGTATCAGGATCCGGCTCCAGCCAGCTCCTCCCTAAAAAACCGTGTCTTCATTTTTTTTTTTTTTTTTTGCAATAGTTGGTTCTACTTCAAAGAACAGACCAAAAAAAAAAAAAAAAAAAAAATGATAGAGCAGATGAGCTGTCACTGCCAACTCTTGATTCAAAAGGAACAAAATTCACCAAGAACAACAACCCTAAGATACAAGAAAAGGAAGGGGGATGTCCAATCACAACTGAAATAACTGATCTGAAGTGAAACATGAGACACAGAACGGAGAGGAAACCCACTGGCCTGTCTGGGAGACCCCAGATAGAGGTGAGTGGGGGGAGGAAAGAAGAAGTGGATTTGATTGGCGTTACTTCACCATCAGGGCCACAGCCACGGGAGAGCTTGCATTGCCACATCCATTCATTTTTAACAAATTTTCACATTTCATTCTCTGCAAATGCTCTGTGCAGCATCTGCATTATTTTCCATAATTTTTCAGGTATGGGAATCAATCGACTCTTGATTTAAAAACAAACACACACACACATACACACACACACACACACACACACACACACAGAAAAAAGCCTATCATTGGTCAACAAATTATCTGTCTCTGTTAAGAAATCCCTGGTGAAATGTAGGATCCAGTCCTAAGACTAGTATGCCTGCTTTTCTTCCATCTGCATTTGCAGTGGAGTCTTTAATCAATTACGTAGCTTATTGAACAATAGCTTTTAAAAGGCACGGCAACATCTCTTTATCTAAAAAGTCTTAAAAAAAAAAAAAAAAGTATAGTGTTCTCCTGCAGGAGTGATGTCGCCAGAATAAGGAAAGAGAAGCGATTTGTCCACACTCCTGACCCCATCCTCCCCCGGTACTTCCCCCTCTTGGTCATCAGCGCCATCAATGTGGCCGGTGGCCTTCCTGCAGATGGTCACAATAATGACAATTACACCGGAAAATGGGCCGTGAGAGAATGCCCAAGGAATCTGTCGGCTTTGCTAACACAAGAGAACCTCCCGATCAATGACACACGCACCCCCCTCTTACAGTCCCCGCCAGCTCCCTTAATCCTCACGGAATGGCCTATTCTTCCTCCGGCAACTGGGAATCGCGAGGTTTATCTAAGGCCATGTCCATCACTCCTCCAGGGGCCCGGTTCTCTAGCTCGTCTCCTAAGTCAGGTCGGATGTCTAGAAATACGAAACCTTAAGCTCCCTGTAAGAATGCCGTCAGAGAAACGTGACTCAACCACATGCCCTCAGATTTTTTTTTTTAAGAGGATGAAAACATTTTTGTATCTTTTGTGCAACTGCTGCTCCTTATTGCTTTCTCCTCTACATTCCATGGCATGTGCCATGCGAACCCTTTTACATTTTTATTTTTCGTTAATCTTCACCCGAGGATATTTTTCCATTGATTTTTAAGGAGCTGGAAGAGAGAGGGAAAGATAGAGAGAAACATCGATGTGAGAGAGACACATCGATCGGTTGCTTCCTGCATGAGCCCTGACTAGGGCCTGGGCCTGGGAGGAGACTACAACCAAGGTACATGCCCTTGACTGGAATCAAACCCGAGACCTTTTGGTCTGCAGGCCGATGCTCTATCCACTGAGCCAAACCGGCCAGGGTGAACCCTTTTAAATAATTTTCCTTATTCTGGCGACATCACTCCTGCAGGGTGAACCCTTTCAAATAATTTTCTTGACTGTGTCTTTTGTTGCAGGACACCTCAGAACTTTAAGAGTAGGTAAGCAATTACAATGAAAGTGACTTCAGGAAAATGAAATAACTCCCTCTGGCCTTTATCTGTTTGTTTTTTCTTCCCCTGTCCAATTACCAAAACCAATGGAGAAAAATAAATGAATTCTGAGCAGCAAGTTGGAAAGAGAGGTCCTGTTCACAGCAATTGCTCTAAGGTCTCAGAAGCAGGTCTGACCCCTCCCCCGCCCCCCCTACAGATCAGGCCTGGGGAGCGACAGCTGGGCCTGGCTGGCCCGGAGGCGGAGGCGCACCCTCTCCGAGCTGGGGCCATGTGCTGTCCATCCTGGCTGCTGAGGTCTCTCGTCTGGGAGAACATTTCGGGGAGAGGAAGCCCATCGTTTGTGAGCCCCCACAAATGCTTTACTGCCTCGTTCTCTGGACCCTCACCCCGTCACTATTTGTCATCCCCTTGGTCCACCTATGAGTAGCCACGGGTAAATAAAATAAAATTTATTTGACCACAGGAATGAGTACCAGACCAGGAAACCACCTTCTCCATGGGGAAGGACGTAGAGGAGGCAGGGGACAGCTCTGGGCCAAGTGGTTGTGTCTGCTCAATGCCCGGCCTGTCCTGGCCTCGGCCCCGCCTCTCCCAGCTCTGGGCCCTGTAGCCTGGCCTAAGTGTCCCTGTGTTCGTCAATGGAGGAGAACGGACTGGATGATGCTGGGGCCCCTCTGGCTTTGTAGTCAGAGTCTCACGTGGAATAGGGCTGGCCTGAGAACCTGTGCCTTAGAGCAGGTGGGCACACTGTGGCCTGCAGGCCCCAGCTGGCCTGCCACCTGTCTCCATACAGCCCGGGAACTAAGAATGGTTTTACATTTTTAAATGACTGGGGGGAGGGGGAGTATAAAAAAAAGAGTAACATTTTATGACACATGAAAATGACGTAAAATTCCAATTTCAGTGTCCATCACCACGGTTTTGTGTCTGTGTCGCCCGGGGCTGCTTTTGCGCTACAGGAGTTGAATAGTTGCCCCAGAGACGGCATGGCCTGCCCAGCCCAACATACTTGCCCTCCAGCCCTTTTCAGAAAGTCTGCCCACCGCTGGCCTAGAGAAGGAACGCTGTCCCTTGGACGGCCAGTCCACAGCGAGTGGCCCTGAGAACCCAGGAGGAAGGGGACGTGGCAAATCCTCGAGGCTGCCCTGCCCGTATAGGAGACTGATGGAGACCTGGAAGGGTCCTTTGCGGCCATTTGGGCCGGGATGCCGGCCTGGGCCTCAGTACCAGGAGGCCTTCTGGTGGTCGCATGCACTTCTTCCTCCAAGTGTTGAAAAGCAAGGGGGTCTACACAGCAGAGCACCAGCCAGGGAAGGCAGGAATTCCGTGTGAGCTCGCAGAACACACGTACGCACATACACCACACTCCAGCCCACCAGGCTGGGAACGGTGTCTCCTGGAAATAGCCTGGCCCTCAAGTTGCCTGTCGGCGGATACATCCCAGGGGCCCTCCCGTGGGTCCCCGTGACAGAGCCGGTCTGCAAGGGTGGGTACCTGAAGGGTGACGTTGAGGGGCTGGAAGTGACACGGCAGGTCCTCCAGCTGAATGAAGTTGGCCGCGGCCACAGACTCGCCGTACACAAAGGAGGTTGGAGACACGATTCTGAAAGAGGAAACCACGACATCCATCATCCCAGCCCGTGGTCACGCGGCCCAAGGTCACCCCTGTCCTGAGAACCCAGCCATCTGGCTCGGGAACCTGGCTGTTCCCGGTGCCTTCCAGAAATTGCTCTCTTTCTGGACTTGGCACTTCTCTCTCCCGTTCACGGACACGGCCAGACGTATGCTTTCTAAGCAGACGTTTCCAACAGTGACTTCTCACCGTAGGTCAAATCAACAAGCTGCATGTGTAACTATGTCCTGGGATTATATTTCTAAAATGACAAGGAAGGCTCTGGTAGCTTTGACTTCAGGCTTAAAAAAAAAACAACCGGATTACAAAATTATCCATGTTCTGTTTTGTCCCTGAAAAACTTCCTGTAAAGTGAGAAAGATCACGGCAAGCTTTTAGGAAATAAACGTAAGTGAATTATAGATTTGGCATCCTAAACTCCACCCGGTGACAGATTCATTTAAAAATGCAAATTTGTCAAACTATTCAAAATCATCAGAAATTCGGCCTTGAAAGTGGAGGCTGATCGATGGCAGCATTTTTCTTCAGGTTTCTCGCAGGGGCGGTGTGAGATGCAACGAAGCACGCAAGCTCAGTTTGTAGCACGCTTTCCACGCTGCCCGTATCAACACGTCTGAGATGAGACGAAGCCTAGAGTCACTCAAATTTCCAGACCAATAATGGGTTCTAGATGAGATTCTAGAAGCTGCTCACTGGCCTAAACACCAACAAGGTAAGATTTGGGGTACCAAGTCTGGACAGCAATGCATCTATTTTCAACTTAAGTGTACTCCTTTAGAAATGTATTATCAAATGGCAGGACTGGTTCCTGTGCTCGCCCTGTTTTGTGGTCCTGGAGGGATCAGAGGTTGACCCATGTGTTTAACCGATGGCTTGCTTCATCTGAGGCTGTTCGCACCTCCCGGTGAGGCCGCCCAGGGCCCGACAGCAGGATCAGACAACAGGCTCAAGGGAGCCAGTGTTTTCTCTGTGGTCCCCGGGGACAGGGCTGGGTTCAGGGCACATTCTCACTGTGCCTCTGACGAAACAAGTAAATAAACTACATGGTTAAAAACAGAACCGTGAACAAAGGCAAATCTACATGCTAATGAGCAAATATATTCCACCAGTGCCTCAAGCCTGAAGCCCGTGATGAAACATGCCAGGAGCGCCTGCCCCTTCTCGGGCACCCGGCAGAGTGCGCTATGGCGGTGATGGCTCCTTCTGCGCTGCATTCGCGTTTCTACTGCTGGCCACCGGGGCCCAGAGCACTTGAAAACTGAAAAGAGAGAAACTCTGAACCCCTAGAAGGTCAGCTTGCATTCGGGGCAAAGTTCCATGGATCCTCATTTGATCCAAACGGATTATGCAAATACTTTCCCCACCACCCATGAGGTTATGTGCTCTGTTACCTGGAGCCTGAACCAGGAACTGGGTTCTCACTTTCCCAGGCCTGGGCTTTGGCTGGTAACTGACAGGGCTGTTTTGGGGCTGCAGGCCTGCTTTCCAGCAATGCCAGCAGCACACGGATGGCATGGACTTCCCCCGCCAGGGGATGGGCCCATCCTGAGGGTCCCCTGCCCACTCCAGACCAGCAGACATTGGGCAGAGCTGCCGGCTCTGCAGGAGGGGCTAACAGAGACACAAAGCCAGCACTACTGCGAGCCAGCCAGGCATTGGGACAGCGCTGGCTGCAGCCTCTGGCTGGCCCCACAGCCACTGGCTGAGATGTGAGTCCCAGGAACCACGCTGCCTGCTACCACAAGGCACTCTGGAGGGGTGGATGCTGGGATACTGCATAAAGAGGTGGACAGGACATTCAACAAAATGAAGGGCTTTAAACTTGTCGTCAAGCTTCTTGTGTTACCTGCCACGTGGGTGGGTGGTGGGGAAAGAGGAGACAATGAGGAGGGAGGAGGGCATGAGTCCCTGGAGCTGAGCCTTCACCCTGCATTTCAGAGCAGGGGAGACTGGAGGTGGCGGGGCCACTGACTCCAGGCTACACGTGCAAATTCGAGACATTCAAGACAGGCACAGTGTCCCCTGCAGCGCACCTCTGTGATCTGGCCACCCAGGCCTGGGCTACTCACCCCGTGATGGACGTGTCCACTTCGTGCACCAGCGGCACCATCAGCGTGAGGGTGTTGTCGTGCAGGGACTCGGAGCGCTCCGTGTTGCCGCTGTGCAGGAAGAGCAGAGTGGACGCGGTCAGCACCGGGCCTGGGGCAGCAGCCTCGTGTGCTCCGTGGCAGAGCTCAAGCTACATCCCCCCAGGGCCGCTCTGCGCCTGATGCGTCCTCAGCTCTGTTTCTGGGCCCTGTACAGAGCCACAGGGCACCCTATTGTCTCGGTTGTGTTCCCTCACAAAGATGTGGGGAGCGACCCCGGGAAACATGAGTGGAGAAGAGAGACAAGGCAGGGGAGGAAGACAATGAAGGCATGTGACCCAGGAGGTGAGGGCTGTGGGTCTGGCTGGGGAACTCCGGGAGGCAGTCTTCCCAGCAGAGGGCAGGGAGCTGGGCCCTGGTCCTGCACTGACTCCTGAGACCGGCTGCTGCTGGGGGAGGGGGAGTGGGAGTGGGGCCATTAACTCCCTGGCACCTGCTCTGTGCACACAGGTGAGTGGGGTCCGGACAGAGGAAGCCTCAGGCAGGTGGCGGGTGCTGGGAGCAGGTGAGTACCGAGGGGTATGGATGGGCACCGGCAGCGTGAGTACTGTATGGGTGCTTGTTCCAGGAATAGCGGACCAGCAAGGTTAGGGCACCGCAGCCAGGAAGGGATGTGCCTGACTTCACAGCCATTTCCCACCTGGAGGCGGCGCCCTTTTTCCATGAACAGGCAAGCCCAGGAGAGGGGCCCAGACCAACCCCGTCACCAGCAATGGTCTGGGAGCTCCCGCTGTGGGCTTGAGGCTACAGGGTGTCCATAGACAGGCATCCCCTTTGGGGTGAGAAAGCACGGGACTGGGATTCTTGTGAGGTCATCCTGGAAAGGCAAAAGCAAGGGAGCAGCAGCTGTGTGGCTGCCGTGCCAGGACTCCCCACCTGGGACAGGTAAGGAGCAGAGAGACTGGGTAACGGGCCCCAGGGACCCATAGCAAACCAGGTTAGCCTCTTTCCCAAGCGGGGTTTTTCCAATGGGATCCCCTTGCCTGATCCTAGGGCTGGAGGCTTGGGGGGGCGGGGGAGAAATGGGAAGAAGGAAGAGGAGGAAAAGACGAGAGAAGACCTAGCTCCCCTTTACTATTTAATTAAATCTCAAATATGAATTGCGATGATTATCGCAGGAAGTGACCGCCTTGGTCAAAGGCATGGCTGTGGGGTGCATGTCGCTGGGCCTGACATTTACGGTTGTTTCTATCACATGGCGTGAACATGGGGCTCCGGCAGCCAGCCAAGTTCACCCTCCAGGGTGGACATGAGTCTCCCAGACCCGCTGAGGTTCATGCACCTCTCCCATCACACCGTTCCCTGCCCATGTGCAGAGTTCCCGCCTCCCCTCCCCCTCCCCCCTGCCCTCCCGCTCCCCCACTGCCTTCCTCTCCCACCCAGCAAGTGCTGAATGCAACACTACTTAAATAGCGCTCACATCCCCTCTCCCTCTCTCCCCTATTGTTTTGAAACAATGACGCTCCTGACCCTGACCCCAGACTCCTCATCTGTCTTCCGCCTATGGGGTGACACTCATCGTTCAGAGGGCAACCACCACCCTTTGCAAAAGCAGCAGGTGCCTCACTTCCTTGCCCTTCCTTCCCAGGGCAACGAAAGCCGGAGGATCACTGCTGTGGGCAGACCAGAGAGGAGGCCCGCACGCACACGGATGGGGTGGCAACCCCGCGCCTGCCCCTCCTCCCCCCAGCATCCTGCCAGGTCTGCGGAATCAGTTCCTGCTGGAAGCGCCACCCCTTGCCCTGCCATTTGTCCAGCCACCTGTGGCCGCTGGCAGCTCCGGCCCAGCAGTGTCGTCTGTCATCAGGGGCCTGCTCCAGACGGAGCTAAGTTGACAAGTTGAGATAAAGAGGCCAGACATCAAAAGGCTTCCAGTCATCCTGCAAGCGCGTGACTTGGGACGCTTCCCCGCGGCCGGCAAAGCGCGGCTGCTGAGAGGGGAGCTCTTGAGAAACTGTTTACTCTCAACATTGTGTCCTCCTGAATCCACACGTGGGCAAGAGGCCTTCAAAGGGTGGTGACGGGAAGAAGGCGGGATCCTAGCTTTCAAGATAAGGAGCTTTCCGCCAGGGCAGGAAGTGGAGGGCTGTGGGTGCCCTCAGGGGCAGTGAGACCAGATCGGCACCAAAGTCTGGAAATATTCGGCTGTGTATGCAACAGATAATACAGCTTCCTTAACAGTTGTGATTCAAAGAATTAGGAGATCTGATCTTTAATAGTTAAGCTGCCGATGCTAGGGTGTCTCCCCATGCTATACAGAAGGAGGTGTTCTTGAATTTAGTAAGTTGTTAGCGCTGTATGTGGTAAACAGTAGCTTAATATTTGGTAAATATTTGCTTGATAGACATCTGCCGAGTGAAAAGGCGTCCCAGAGGGCAGACTCAGCAGCAGAAGTGGAAGGTATCTCTGGCTGCCTATAGGCTGAGGTTGGGCTGGGTTTTCCCTTTTCCAAAGGGTAATTGTCAGCTCTGAACACCTGCAGAGCCCAGAGAGCACTCACAGCACCTGTTACCCTAGGCCTTGCCTGTCCCACAAGCCCTGCTGTGAGCGTGGAGGGCTCAGAAGCTGCCCAGGAAAAGGGGAGAGGGCCAGTAAGAGCAAGATGGCGCCCCCAAGGCAAGTTTCCCTCCACACTTTTGTCATGGATTTAGGAACTTGCTTGGAGACCTGAAGGACGGACGGCAGGACTTTGCATCACCCAAGAGTGAGCTGAGAATGCACAGGACCTCCTAGATGTCCTCCAAGGACAGGGAACGAGAGATGGGGAAGCTGTGCAAGCAGAACTAGATAAGAACTCCCCTTCCCTTCCCCCCTGCACTCCCCCAGATCTGGTTCCACCAGCACTTTAGGGCTTTATCTCGGCATAACCATTTCCTCCTCTTCCTCAGCATCCTGGGCATCATGGCAGCATGGCCAGAACTTCGTCTTTTCGGGTTCCAGCAGTACTTACCTTTGGGAAACAAAGCTGAAATCCCCCTTACCTCTGAGCAGTAATGATGAAGCTGAGAACTTCTTCTTCTCCAGACAGATGGCTCGTATCAAAGATGACGCTGAATTCATACTAGAAGAGAGACGTTTGGCATCAGCAGGCATTCCAAATTGAACTGTTAGCTACAACCTTCCCCACTTATGGCCCCTGGAAACTCAAGCTTTATTTGCATGCATATATATTTTACTAATGTTTTTATTTATTTTAGAGAGAAAGGGAAGGAGGGCGGGGGGGGAGGGAAAGAGGAGAAACAGCGATCAGTTGCTTCCCATACCCACCCCAACCAGGGGTTGACCTCACAACTTGGGTATGTGCCCTGACCAGGAATCAAACCAGTGATCTTTCAGTACATTGGACAATGCTCAACCCACTGAGTCACACTGGCCAGGGTTGTATGCATATCTTTTTGATCATCAGTTCTGAGACACAGCTTTAACAGTAAAAACCACCCACCAAGAGGCACACAGTCTTTTTCAACAACGGAGACTCTCTTTAGGAAGTGATATGTTTGTCTCTTAAACCAGGACTTTCTAAATTTCACTCACACACCACGTTCCCAATTTTTGGCCACATCTGCATACCCTATCACCTGTGATATTTACTTCATATTTTTATTGCCTCAGTCACTTTGTCTAAAGACTATTTTAAAAGGAAAATGTATACCATGATCACAGACTGGAATCTAAGATCACTTGGCATAAAAAGATGTCTGTCACTCAGCAGACATCATCAAACAGGTATAATGAACACAAAGCCATGCTCACTCTTGTTGCCTGCCGAAGACGCTGAGGCTAAGGTCTATTCTATTTTGGTAAGAGGGAGATAAACAAGTGACAGCGAGGTGCTACAGGTATGTTATACTGTTGTAGACCTTATCCTGGATGTGGTCAGAATTGAAAAAGCATTGAAAAGGTAATAACTTTCTCACTGTAAGAGTCAATGTTGTTTAGTGCCGTGGCCATATATCACCTAAAATCATCTCAGGTACCTCCAGTGGTGAGCATCCTGTGGTTTGGGGAACACTGCCCTAAGCACATGTTTTTCTCTATCTATCTATCTATCTATCTATCTATCTATCTATCTATCTATCTATCTATCTATCTATCTACACTGCATGCACACACACATGTGTATATATCAGGCATGTGTAGGAATGTGGGAGGAACCCTTGGGTTGGGGTTAGAGAACCAGGCTCTATCACAAACTGACCATGTGATCATCCCCAAGACACTTAACCTATTTGCATTTCAATAAAAAGAAGGGGGTGGAGAAAATGATTCTTAAATTCCTTAAAGCTCTAAGAGTCTATGACCTATTTAGTAACTAAATGGTTAGGTTCCTGGGTGACTAATTCTAGGCTATGGTCTAACGTTGCAAGATTGAAATCTACTGAACTGAATGCTGCCTGAAGAAACCGGACCTTGGACCATTACATGGGACCATCATCTACAGTGGCCACTGAGCATCCCTATCTATCTATCTATCTATCTATCTATCTATCTATCTATCTACATATACACGCATGCACACACATATGTATATATCAGGCATGTGTAGGAATGTGGGAGGAAGCCTTGGGTTGGGGTTAGAGAACCAGGCCCTCTCACAAACTGACATTTGTGTTGTCGTGGGACTTGTCAGCTGACAGGGGTCAGGACAGGAAGCAAGGCTGGATGACACAAAGGAAGGAAAGTCAAGGGTCTTGTCCCAGCAAAGAGTCAGAACTGGCAGGAGATGTGAACACGCTGGACATTAAGGTGAGGCGAGAAGCAAAAGACCTGGGCAAGAAGCCAAAATCAGAGACAGAGGCCTGGGAGAACAGAAGGTCAGAGACACAGCTAGGCAGAGTAAGCCGGCCGTGCAGTCATGATGCTTGGCTGGTGGTCTGGAGCCCAGTGACCACAGGGTCTGGGGGATCAGGAAGGGCAAGCCAGGCTGTGGACAGAGGGAGTCCATGTCCTTGCCGAGTCACTTCTTGAGCTTTTTCTAGGGAATTTTCCCCAGATCTCTGCCTCTACGTTTACCCTTGCCACAGGTCTTAGCCTCTGTATGTGGGAATACAGCAGTGCATCCTCACGTAGGGAAAAAAGTCAATATTCCAACATTCATACTTCTGTTGGTTCCATGACTATTTTGAAAATTAATGAATTTTGACAAAATTTAATGCCCCAGATTTCCATAGCGCCTTGTTTTCATTTTTTTAAAATATATTTTATTGATTTTTTACAGAGAGGAAGGGAGAGAGATAGAGAGTTAGAAACATCGATGAGAGAGAATCATCGATCAGCTGCCTCCTGCACATCTCCCACTGGGGATATGCCCACAACCCAGGTACATGCCCTTGACCGGAATCGAACCTGGGACCTCTCAGTCCGCAGGCCGACGCTCTATCCACTGAGCCAAACCGGTTTCGGCTGTTTTCATTTTTATGATGACCTTCTCTTTATGGCAAGTGATCCTGGGTCTACTTGTGACAGGGATATCAATTCTCCTTTAAAAGTAATCTTTAGACTAAAACTAGGAAGGCACACCTTAGGTTTGATGTGGGACGTAGACTGAATTTCATAATACAGTGGCAACTGTGAAGAATCTTTCAATTGTCTATTTTCTATTGCACAATAGATTTCCCTTAAATTTGTGAGTGATGTGCCACATACATTACTCTCAGACATTGGGCCATTATACTGATTTCCATGGTTCAGGGTACTCCTTCCTCATCCGACTTGGAGTCTAACAGAACCTGGCCTCTATTCTTCCAGCTACTAGTAACCCCTTTTCCAAGGCCAGCCACCTTCACATTTCCCTCCGCCTGGGATGCATGTGGGCAGCTGAGAAAGAGAACCAGAAAAAGGCTCAGCAATCACGGGATGTATTGGGAAGAGCTACAGACTTTTGGAGCAGGTTCTTTCAATGAGGCCGATGGGTTCAATGATTTTTAAGAAATAAGCAAATCTTCCTTCTCACTAGAACATTTCCAAAATTGGTTTACTAAACAGCTACCATGTACTGGGGCCAGAAAGTCTTAGGAATTAAAATGACTTGATTCTATGACATAGGTAGGAGAGAAGGGTCAAGCTTTCATTTATTCTAGGGGGGGAAAGGTAGACAAAGGAAGATGACTTTTTCTTCAAATCTCAGCAGGAAATACAGCTTCCATTTCGTAAGGCAGGCCTTGTCTTTTAGATTCTAGTTTTGTCTCCAAAAATCGCATCTTCTATGTACGCCTTTCTGCATCTCCTTATAATGACGGCACATGTGAGAATGCCCCGTGAGTGTCTGAATTATGTTGTGCCATGGTATTGCTTGAGCTTAGAAAATGCTGCTCCTTATAAATATCTAAATGGCTGTCATTTCTTTTACTTAAAAAAGTGAAGTGCAATATAATTATTTATGTTTTAAGCATTTTAAGAAGTCTCTTAAGAAAACTGTGAGGGCCCAGGGGGGTCAGGACTGTGGGTCATTAGGCCAGACCACCCACATCGTCTCCTATGTTGCCTCTGGGACTCAAAGTGGTGTGCAATGTCCCAGAAAAAAAATCATTTCAAGGAGGCCAACCAGATGCTGCCTGCCAAATTGCTAAGACCATGCTGTGTCTCTCACATTTGGGGCATATCATGTGGGTCAAAGAGAAAGACCACGTGACCATGGCCCCTCTGGAGTAGACTGCCATGGACAAGAGGGTTACCATACCCCAGCTCCTGCAGGAGGAAACCCCAGAGGAGGCAGCTGGCAGAGTCAGGGGCTGGTGGGAGGGTCTGGGGGCTGCTCCCAAGGAAGTGCCCCACTCCGCCCCTTACCTTCGACTTGGACCTCATGAAAGGGAATCCCACGCTGCATTTGAGGAAGTCCGATTCCAGCAGTTCACAGGAAATGCCCATTTCCTCCTGAAAGAGAGAAAAACACCAACAGATGGGCCGGCTGCACAAGACAGATGTGGACCTGGCCTCGGGGAGGCAGATGGAGACTTCGGCAGACACGGTCCATCTTTAGTTCCCAGACAATAGCCATTGTGGGCTGTGGGGAGACAAGGAGCCGCTGACCAGCACGAGAGTCCCAGGTGCCCACCCTTCCGTTGGTTCCCTGGGAAGACAGGTGCAAGGGACAGAACCACTCTTTACTCTCCGCTAACACATGGGCTCTGAACCCCCGTGCTCTCCTGGGACACGGGATGGGGCAACATGTGAGCTGGACACCTCCTCTGCTTTGGATGAAAAGGCAGCCCCGTTGTCTTTCTGGCCCTTTTCTCCTAAGCCCACGCCCTAATCCCGCCTTTCAAGACCTTGCTGGTGTAGAAAAGTCAAACTCTAAGAAAATGACACCCACGAAAATACAGGGATTCTTTCGACAGCCAGAGAAGTGAGGAGGGCTGACCTGCTCCCCTACAAGCCTCCCCGGGGTGGGTCAAGGGCAAGGACAGGTTAGCCCAGCCATGGACTCTTCATGTGATGGCCGGAGAACCAGGGGAGGGGCACCGAGAGCCGCTTTTCCCACCGGAACACATGGTTTCCAACCAAGGCCAGAGGAAAGCCAGGAGGCTCTCCATACCCTCCCTGCTTCTCCAGGTCACTGCAGCAAATCAGGACTTCCAAGGGGAGTTGGTATGTTTGCAGATTTTGGAGAAGGGGAGACACAGGGCAGAACTAGCACTTGCTGAGGGTCCAGAAGCCGGGACACTGAAGTTCAATGGGGCCGTGTGACCTCCCCAAGGTCATGCTAAAACCTGTCTCCTTCCTTGTTCCACACAATGGCAGACAAAAGGAACCAATCCCTGTGGATCCAGCTCTGAAATGCTGCCTGTGCTTCCTGCTCCAGTTTCCCAGACCCTCCTCCTCAGCTCAGACCAGCTGTTCCAGGCCTTTAGACAAGTACGACCAACATTTCCTGTTGTGTCCAATCAGGGGGAAAAAAGTGAGCACTTACTATATCAGATCTATTCAGTTATAAATTATAAACATATACTACCATACTTACGTAGCAGGAACATTATCAAACACACAAAAAGTACAAATGCTAAAAGATAACCAATCCATGGGCTTAGAAGTCAAGATAGCAACCGGGAGGCCGTAAGTGGAAGGGGCTGCGTGGGTGCTGGGAGTATTCCTAGGTGTGATCATTGTGAAATTCGATGAGCTGGCCACTTAATGATCTGTGTAATTTGGTCTGTTTGTTAAACAGCAATAAAACTTTACTAAAAAAGAAAAAATAGCAACAAAACAAAAATCCCTCCAAAATACAATGAAGTGAAAAACAGGAGGCATAGAAATAGCAAAGGCAACTCTGTCTCTTTAGCATCCAATCTTGGGGATTACCGACGTCGGTGATTATACGTTTTCTAATGGCTCTCAGGGACCTTGGCGAGCGTTTCTCCCACGGAATTGGAACCCCGTGCGTTAGAATCCGCTTGGGAGCATCTTAAAAACCACAGATTCCCGGGCTGCACCCCAGTCGCCTCTGCGTGGACAACTGAGTAGATTCCGAGACAGTGGGGCCTGGGAAAAGCATGTTCCATGAACGGTAAGTGATAACGTGCGTGAGCTGGCTGCACGGTGCTTGGGAGCCACTGCCACGGGCTTTCCTTGTGTTGGTCCATCCTACCGGCTGCTCGAGGGGCCTTCTTACAACATGCCTCTCTCCACTGCAAACAGAATGGAGCTTAAACCCATTTGGACCCATATTCCTGTCACTGTCCCCCTGCCCCACGGAGCACCTACACTGCTCTTCTACAAACACCCTGACCCGGCCGGTCCCATTTCCACACTCTGGCGGCTGTTCCCCAGCCCTACTCCAGGGTTTTCTTCACCCGTCCTGGCCCCCAAACACTCGGGGTGGTGCGTTCACATACAGAATATGGTTACGGTGCAGGGTGCAGAATGGGCCCTGAGCAGCCCTGGGGAGCTGAGTCATCCTATCCGCTACCAGGATCGTGACAGATGTTAGTCCCTGAACTTGAAGAGCTCGGGGACTACAAGGGGACGTCCTCCCAGCAGAGAGGCGGACATTTACATGGCAGTGCGAGGGGCTGCCCTCGGAACCCAGGGGATGTGTGTTGGCAATTTCAGTAAGAAAAACCAGACAGTAATTTCTCAAATGTTGTCTCAAGACCTGCATATCCCAAAGGCGGGTCTGATGGTTCCCTGTGGGTGGCCTTTGGTCACCATCCTCTTCCTCATGCTCCTCACCCCAGAAGCAGTGCCCACAACGGGCAACTAAAAGCTCCTCTAAATTCCAGCTAATTGGCTTGTGGGCCTCAGAGGCAGCAAGCCCAGTCCAGGGTGACCTTCGCTCTCGGTCTCCCTGGGACAGTCCTGGTTCATGTCTGTCATCTGGGTGTAATTACTCTCAAGAGCGTCCCGGCATAAATATAAATTACGTGATTACTCAACCCCTCCAGACGCCTTCTGTAACGCCCCAGCACTCGCCAAGAGAGAGGTTTTCAATGTAAGTCGAAGGCCTGTCTGCTCTTGAAGACGTGCTGTCCTGAAGACGTCTTCAGTGTGTGCACGTGTGTGTGAAGGAGCGACTGCGCCTCCAAACATTTACGCTGGAACTTGACGGGACCTCGGTTTGCTTAGCTTTGCCTGAGGCGGCTCCGGATTAGCCAAGAGCTGCTGAATGACCTCATTCCCGCTAATTCCAAAATACGGGAAATAACCTTTAAACCAGCATTGACTGTACTAGTCCAAGTCTCTCTTCCTCGCAGTCTAATAGAAATTACAAAATTTTAGGTGGATCTTGGTGGCGATGAGCAGAAAGGGCGAAAAGCAAAGACATCTCTAGGAAGGAGCGCGCTCAGCGGCTGGCTCCTGCCCCTGGATGAGGTTCCAGACTGGTTGCCATGGAGCACCCTCCTGCCACCTGTCAGCGCCAGTCCAGCTCCCTGTGGCTACTGGAGCCGCCCTAACCAAAAGGCTCTTTCATTCTAAGCCCTGCTCTCCGACTACAGTTCTGTCTGGGAGGTTATGACACCCTCCCCCACAAGCATTCTGCAGCCTATGACTGACACGGTGCAAAAGGCCACCCCTCCGCCTCCAGGTGGGACCAGCTGTGTCGTGCAACTCATGATCCAGAGTCCCTGCGGGAACTGGCCAGGCAGACTCCGGCCGGCCAAGCGTACAGACCCGTTTGGCTCCTTCCTCCACCCCACCCTTTGCCCGTTATTTCTCTTCTCCCAAGAGCATTACCCCAATAAATCACCGGCAGGAATCCCCATCTCAGGTTCCGCTTCTGATGAATCTGACCTCAGAGAATACACGTTACAGTCGCAGCTTGGGAATGAGAGCCACTGGACTGCGCTGGGCATTTGCTACCAGATGGGGAGAGGCGACACTCGCCTGCTAAGATCGCTCGTTTAAATCCATACTAGCCAAGAGGAAACTTTAAAAAAAAATATTTTAAAAGGAGAGGGATAGAGAGGTAGAAACATCGATGAGAGAGAAACACCATCGATCAGCTGCCTCCTGCACACCCCCTACTGGGAATGTGCCCTCAACCAAGGTACATGCCCTTGACTGGAATTGAACCTGGGACCCCCTCAGTCCACAGGCCGATGCTCTATCCACTGAGCCAAACCGGTCAGGGCAAGAGGACACTTTCTTTTTTTTTTTTTTTTTTTTTTTTTTTTTTTTTTTTTTTTTGTGATTAATCACTATACTTTAATTATGTTCAATTTGTAACAATGAAAATACATCCTGCATATCAGATATTTGTCTGGTATTCACTGGCACCCTGCCCCGGGGGCGAAAGGACCCCCTCCCTCTCTTGGGCTGGTGAGAAGCTGACCTGTCCACACTGACGTCTGGAAACCACCCCACCCCGGTGAAAAATCTCTGCCGGACAAACGGCTCCGGAAAATGACCAAACCGCAGGACAGACCGCAGGTTTCACCTGACCCTGGAAAGCCCTGACTGCCACCAGTTTCGGCCAGCAACAATTGCCTCAGAAAAGTATAAAACCTTGCCCCTGCCCAGGTTGGGTGCGGCTTCTCCGGCTCCCCTCTCTGAGCCGGTGAACCCGCCCGTGTGCTCCCAATAAAGCCTGTTTAATCTGGTCTCTTTTTGGACTCATGGTTATTCCTCACGGCGGCGTAAAACCTAAGAATATTTACATTACGATTCATAACAGTATCAAAATTACAGTTATGAAGTAGCAACGAAAATAATTTTATGGTTGGGGGTCACCACAACATGAGGAACTGTATTAAAGGATTGCGGCATTAGGAAGGTTGAGAACCACTGATTTATAATGTATTTAAAACATATACTGATAGGTAAATGTAATATGATTCCCTTACACAAAAACAACTGTCCCATAGGATAAAGATAACTAGTGGAGCTGTTGTGCCCAGATTTCATGATTCCCAAGAACCCACAGGGAGCCAGCGAGTCCGATGCAAAAGCAAAGAGTCATTCATTTCAAACCTAGGTTTGGCTCCCCTGCCACACTCACCGATGCAACGGTAAGCTCCAGTGGCCGAGAGAGAGAAAACTCTGTGTGGAGAGAGCTTTTATAGGGGGTTGGGGTAAGGGGAGGAGAAAAGACTGTGGGCCCTGCCGATTGGCCAGGCGCGAGTCGGTGTCTCATTACACAGGATGTGGTCATAGTGATGGCGTGCACTTCCCGAGGACACTTTCTTAATTGTCACTTATAAAACCTGTATGGCTCCCCCATCAGGGGAGCTCTTGCCCTCGAAGAAGCACCTGCACCCCCTTTGTTCTGGTTTCAGATCAGGCCCAGGTATAACCTTAAATACCAGGGTCGGGAAGGAGCCACGTACCCCGCTGGTCGTCAGGTGGGTACGCTGTAGGAACAGAGAGACCCAGAGAAGCTTTAAAAAAATGAGTTCTGGGAGAAGTGACAAAACTCAGCTGTCCCCCTGCTTTGGGGG